CGATCTTCCATTGAACAGGTCGCCACACAGTACGATCTTCCATTGAACACGTCGCCACACAGTACGATCTTCCATTGAACACGTCGCCACACAGTACGGTCTTCCATTGAACACGTTTCCACACAGTACGGTCTTCCATTGAACACGTCGCCACACAGTACGATCTTCCATTGAACACGTCGCCACACAGCACGGCCTTCCATTGAACACGTCGCCACACAGTACGGTCTTCCATTGAGCACGTATCCACACAGTACGGTCTTCCATTGAACACGTTGCCACACAGTACGGCCTTCCATTGAACACGTCACCACACAGTACGGTCTTCCATTGAACACGTTTCCACACAGTACGGTGTTCTATTGAACACGTCGCCACACAGTACGGTCTTCCATTGAACACGTCGCCACACAGTACGGTCTTCCATGGAACACGTTTCCACACAGTACGGTGTTCTATTGAACACGTCGCCACACAGTACGGTCTTCCATTGAACTCGTTGCCACACAGTACGATCTTCCATTGAACACGTCGCCACACAGTACGATCTTCCATTGAACACGTCGCCACGTACGGTCAGTCTTCCATTGAACTCGTTGCCACACAGTACGGTCTTCCATTGAACACGTTGCCACACAGTACGGTGTTCTATTGAACACGTCGCCACACAGTACGGTCTTCCATTGAACACGTCGCCACACAGTACGGTCTTCCATTGAACACGTCGCCACACAGTAGATCTTCCATTGAACACGTCGCCACGTACGGTCAGTCTTCCATTGAACTCGTTGCCACGCAGTACGGTCTTCCATTGAACACGTAGCCACACAGTACGGTCTCCCATTGAACAGGTCGCCACACAGTACGATCTTCCATTGAACACGTCGCCACACAGTACGATCTTCCATTGAACACGTCGCCACACAGTACGATCTTCCATTGAACACGTCGCCACACAGTACGATCTTCCATTGAACACGTCGCCACGTACGGTCAGTCTTCCATTGAACTCGTTGCCACACAGTACGGTCTTCCATTGAACACGTCGCCACACAGTACGATCTTCCATTGAACACGTCGCCACACAGTACGGTGTTCTATTGAACACGTCGCCACACAGCACGGTCGGTCTTCCATTGAACACGTCGCCACACAGTACGATCTTCCATTGAACACGTCGCCACACAGTACGGTGTTCCATTGAACACGTCGCCACACAGTACGGTCTTCCATTGAACACGTCGCCACACAGCACGGTCTTCCATTGAACACGTTGCCACACAGTACGGTCTTCCATTGAACACGTTGCCACACAGTACGGTCTTCCATTGAACACGTCGCCACACAGTACGGTCTTCCATGGATAGCTTGAATATGCATGACGTCATTTTATGACGTCACTGGTGTTGCTATTGGCAACATAAGTCTTAATACACTCTAATATTCTATTATGGACACTTTTTGTTAAAGTCACGTTGTATACCATTGAGTTTTTAGGGAATAACCTATCTATACGGTTTTGGCCCATAAAATCACATTAATGACGTCATAATGACGTCATATTACGTCTTAACGACATCAAAATTGTAATTACGATAATTTTTTATTAGTACACCATCCTCTGAAAATTTGGTGCTCATACAATATACCGTTCGTGAGTTCTGATGGGGGGGCCGAATGAGCCCCCCCCCCCCGGTCCCACGAAGCCCAAAAAAACCCGGTCTAAATAGGGTTAAGGCCACCGCTCTTCAAAGGACGTCTTCAAAACCGTCCGGGCTATCTGATCAGATGTGCGTTTTTCAAAAGTCAGGAAGCTACGGGGGTGTAACGTGTGTTTCCTGCGCTGCGTTTGACAGGCGCTGGTTTCGAGTCAAAGTTTTCAGAGAGGCCGCAGCTCCAAAGGGACCAGAAACATATATATAGCGCAAAATTTAAGAACCTGATTAACTAATGATTAACTAAAACCCAGTGTAGTCCAGCTAATACTAGTTTAGACGTAGGTTGACGATGATTTAAATCAAGCGATGTATAGGACAGGAGCGCGTGCTCGTTACTTAGAACACACGTAACACACTGGCGCGCCAGGGATGCGCGTTCTTTTTTCTGGTAAAATTCTGCCTGTTTTAATTTTCTGACACGACCTCAACGAATTTGGGGGGAAACCCGGCCGGCCCGTTTCGCCCTCGAAATCGAATATAAGTCAAATACCGTCAGAAAGCTTAAGATTTGCTCTTTCGTACACGACAAATTTCCTGTTGGTGCGAAATCTGCATCAAGGCGAAAATACACGGGGAAATTGCACTAAAATTGCCTATTTTCAGGTTAGGATATCGAAAGGGGAAAGGTACATACTTAAAAACTCATTGGTAGCAAATTAGCAAGTCTAGATATATTATAAATAAGTTAACAATATGGGAGATATGTGGTTGCATAATCCCGCGGTAAGCTTTCTTGTGAGGCGTGTCGACGCCCGGAGCCGAGGAACGGACTAACGTTACATGTACTTTCTCTCGCGGAAGGAAAAGAGAAACGCATAGAACTCTCGACGTGGCTTTCCGGCTGAAACTCGCTTTCTGCCACGGGTCTAACCTGGGTTCCAGCCAAGTTTACAGACCGCTAACCGTTTCCTTCGGCAGCCGGGGAAGCTTATCGGTCCTCCAACTAGTTCCGGGGAAGCTTATCGGTCCTCTCCAGCTGCGAAGGAAATGGCTAGCGGTCTGTAAACTTGGCTCGCACCCAGGGTACCACGGGTCGCTAGTGGTCATTTCCTTCCCCCTCGTTAATGTCGATGGCATAGCAGTCAACAACAACGCCTCCAGTTTTCCTCTGCACCTAATGATACTGACGTATAATTTTTGAGGAGGACGCTGCCGCCATCTTGCAACTTCGCGGTCTACGTTGTTATTGTAGCTAGTACGCATGTGCAAAAGGTTCATTTACGACAATATTGACGTTTGGCGGTAGTAAATAAGAAGTTTTACGATAAGCCGCCATTTGCGGCATTTATGAGTCGAAGGTGTCTGTTGACAGGGTCATCATGCCAATAACAGAAAATTTGCACTATTGACAGGACCATCCTGTCAATACTACAAAATTTTGCACTATTGACAGGATGGTCCTGTCAACAGTATATTTTTCTGTTATTGACAGGATGGTCCTGTCAATAACAGAAAAAAGATACTGTCCTGTCCTGTCAATAACGGAAAAAATCCACTATTGACAGGATGGTCCTGTCAATACTGCAAATGTCCTGTTGTTGACAAGATAGTCCTATAGAACGGAAAAAAATCCGTTATTGACAGGATGGTCCTGTCAATAGTGGATTTTTTTCGTTATTGACAGGACCGTCCTGTCAATAGTGCATTTTTTCTGTTATTACCATCCTGTCAATAGTGGAAAATTTGCACTATTGACAGGATGGTCCTTACGCTTATGAGTCGGCAGTCTGGCTGCGTTCCAGCCGAGTTCCGGAGTTCCCCGAAGCCTCGAAAGAGTTTTCGCCAAGCCAAGTGAAGAAAATGGCCGGAGTAAGACGTCTTTTCCGTGTCGCCCTGGCTTTTCT